AAGTGTGAAAACTTGAAAAAATATATTTGGCAGTACATTAATAGGATCACTTAGAACAGATATAATATTTTGGGCAATTTTAATGCAGTTTGAAGTGGTTACACACTCCCACCAGGCCCTGGGAGGAGTTCGCAAACTCAAATGCTTACAGGGTTTAGGAGCAGGTGAGTGAAGCAGGCCGAGTGTAAGGACGAGAGGGCGTTGCACGGACTGTGGCAAATAGGTAGCCAAAGGGTACAGTCACTACTCAGCTCAAGCCATTACTGTCACATCAGAAGCATGCTGTTTTGCCAGATCTTCTCATTTTTAAGCAGATAAACTAGCACATAGTTTTTATGTGCTAGTCTTCAGTGTTTGAAATACTGGCAACTAATTCAAATTTATAAACTGTGTGCAGGCCATACAGTACATGTTTGCGGGAGACATTCGGGCCCTTGAACTGTCTCATGTCTCTGCGTTAGACACTTCTCCATTCATTATCCTTGAGGAGAGCAGACGCCAACACTTTTGAATGAGAGAACATCAGCAAGGGGTAGGTGAAAAACTTTGCGCCAGGCTTCGGAAAATCTTGGTTTCAGGGTAGGCACTGCCATTTACTACTAGCTGGATGACTTCTTTGAGCTTGTTCATTCATTTGTAAAATGTAGTTTCATGAATTATCCTAATTCACTGAACTGTTGTGAGTAGCAAATTAGAAAGTAGGTCAAAGAATATCATAAACTAAAAAGCTCTACATAAATACAAGTAAATGGCTGTAAAATAATAAAAAATAGATACTGGTCTTGGCCTGCAGTTCATGGCACAGAGCTCCTGAAACCCTTGTAATTTCCTAAGTAATTAAAGCACTATGAGCATCTCTTGTCCTAATATTTGGTCTTTGACCCATTCCTGACATAGGGATTCTAAAACCCTTGTAAATTCTTAATAGGAGCACTAGGAGCATCTTTTGTTATAATAAGGCAACTCTGGGTGGGCTCCTAGGTGGCTCCTATATCAGGCTGGTCACCACAAAGAACAAGCGATGATTAGAAGCTTGGCATTTTCAGCCCCACTCCCCACCTCCAGAGAGGGGACAGGAGCTAGAAATGGAATTAATAACTGATCATGCCTATGTGAGGAAGCTTCCATAAAATCCCAATATTACACGGTTTGGAGAGCTTCAGGTTGGTAAAGACATCCACACCGGGAGGGTGATGCACCCAACTTCATGGAGACAGAAGCTCCAGTTCTTCAGGCCCTCCCAGACCTCACCCTATGTATCTCTTTATCTGACTGTTCATCTGTATCTTCGATCATCTCCTTTAATAAGCTTGTAAATGTGTTTCCCTGAGTTCTGTGAGCTGTTCTAGCAAACTGATCAAACCTGAGGTGGTCACGGGAACCTCTGGTTTGTAGCCAACTGGGCAGAAGTTGTGTATAACCTGGGGACCTACTACTTGTGATTGGCATCTGAAGTAAGAGGTAGTCTCATGGGACTGAGCCCTGAAACTGTGGAATCTGACACTATCTCCAGGGAGACAGTGTCAGAATTTAGTTAAATTGTAGGACACCCAGCTGGTGTTGCAGAGAATTGCGGAGTAAAGGAAAAAAATCACACAATTGGTGACCAGAAGTGAAGTGTTTGTGTGAATAGTAAATGAGACACACAGGAGAAAGACTCATAGGAGGCTGAGTTTTTCCAATATAATGACTTTACAAAGAGACCTAAAAGGGTGGCCTAAGAACGTTTGACATTTCTGTCCAGTCAGTTCTTCATAAAAACGGGAATATAGATTACTTAACTCATAGAGTTCCTCAAATATATTAAAATTATAAAATCCTTTTCAAATGTTAAATGCCCTGTAATTACTTGGTAATAAAGTATTGGCCTAGTGTGGCCAAATACACTAACGAAGTTGCATATTAACACTTCCTAAAAAGTTGAGTACATTCTTGGCTTTCCTAAAACAATGAGCAATTTAATGCAGCTAGTCTGGAAAAAGTTACTTCAGGTTCTCAGTTTTTTTCCTTCTGAAATGTGTGTAAGCTTACAATGGGTTTACCATACAGTCCTGTAACAGACCCAGGTTTATCTATTCTCCACTCCTAAAGCTTCTGGAGGCACTACTCCCATCAGCCGGTGATGCAGGAAAAGGGATGTGGGGCAGTCAGGTCTGGGATGCAACTTAGGGAAAAGAGGAAGCAGTCCTCTGGCCATGACGTCAATTCAGATTCAGGGCTAATAATTCTCACATCTATCTACTTTTATGCAAATATGTTTGACAGAGACACTTTTTGATAACTGTTGTTCTCTTTATCCTGGACCATTAAATCACACATGACGTGAAGCTAAGAAAGTATCAAAATTTCTGAGGAACTGTAAGGGATAAAAAACTCCTTGTTCATGTTCAGCTTTCATCAAACCACAACTGACTTAGCAAACTCAGTAAACCAAGTCTCTTTCACCAGCCTATTTCTTGTAGATTAGTGCGGAAGTTGAGTTGAATAATGACAACTTGAGAGATTTAAAAGGCTCCAAACTAAAGTTTTTCATTTAAAAGCACATTTCTGATGATATTATGAGTAATGCTTTCTTCCGCCTCAGCTTTCCAAACTCTGTGAATGACTTACTGTAATTTTGAAAATTGTATAGTAGAATAAAATTGTCCTGACATAAAAAGAATTCTTCCTGTGATAACATATGAAAAAATTCTGATAGTCACATTTGTTCATGGATGCCATTAGAGGATTGCTTAAATCCTACAGGAGTCAAACTCACTAGTATTTAAATATCTCTAGAAAAATAAAATGTTAGTTTGAACCAATGAAAAACTCTTTAAAACTCTAATAAAAAAATTAACTGGAGACAAAAATCTAAAGTTAAATTACTACCTTTAAAGAAGAAAGTAAAAGTGACTTTACAGGAAGCTCTTTAATTTAGTAGCATCTTTTAAGGTTAAATCTTTTCAACTTCGCTTATAAATAATATAAAAACAAAGTAATTGTATAGCATAGTGATTAAGACTGTGGGCTCAAGAATCAGATTTATCTGGATTCAAATCCTAGCTTCCAACACTTATTAGATCTGTGAATTCAGGAGGGTTATTTTAGTTTCTTCATAAAACAGGGGGAATAATAATTTCAGGGTTATTGTAAAGATGAAGTGAAATGCTTCATAATTTTCTTTCTCATGCCATGCCATATAAATTTATCATGTAAGCAAAAAGCAGTGGAAACAGCTAAGAAGCACTGTGTGACCCAGTTCAGCTACACTGTAGGTGCACCAGGACCCCATTATATACAGTGATGAGTACTGCCACTCTAGGATTGATTCTGAAGTGAAAGCTATCTTTGTTCCCTAACACCATGTTATAATCTTTTAAAAATATATACTTTTAACATGTTTTTTTCTATACACCAAATCAATATTTTCTATAACCTAGCCTTCATAAACAAGGCTGTTTAACTATAAAAGACATATTAAAAACTGATCACTTTGAAAATGATTAAAATTGTCTGATAATTGTGGTGCTGTGAAATTGCTTTGAGAGATTCTATTTGGAAAAGATACAAAAAATTTCCTTAACAAATAAGTGACAATTAATAATGATGCAACTGTCTATAGGATTAATTCTTTCCAGATATGGATCCCACATACTATGGACCTGTTAATTTGATTCAGACTCAAAATAGCTATTAAAAGTTGTTATTGTGACATGTGTGGGTAAATTATATGATTTTTTTTTTCAGATTGACAGTAGTAACTAAACTATTCCGAACCTAAAATCCTTTGATTTGTTTACATTACTATAAAAGTGACTTAAACAAGAACGTGTAAGAGTGGATTATTACTAAAATATTTACTTAAGAAGGAAATGAAAATGATTTGTTCTTTAAAACAAATTTCTGAGGTGGTTCCACAGAGTAGTGGTTAGCACATCTACTTTACATGCAGAAGGTCCTGGGTTCGCGCCCCAGTGGAGCCACGGTCCATACCCCAGGCATGCCAGGTCCCCTGGGTGCGCCAGGCCCCAGGTGTGTACTGCAAGTGTGTGGGAGGAGACGCCCCGCCTTCAGAGATCCAGTTCTTAAGGGGAGACTGCAACAACCGTAGGTCAGGGGTGGAAGTGGGGGTAGAGGGAGAATTAAAGTAAATAAATAAAAATAAAACGAATTTTCAAAGTAACAAAACCACCCAGTAAAAAAACAATTGTGATGGAATTTTTATATTCACATAAACTTTTAGTAATTTACACTGAGTTATCCAATGATAGTAGTTTTTTCTTATACTGTCTTAGTCTGTATTATTTTGTAACACTTAAAACTAAACAATGATAAACTTGGACACAAAAATGTTAGAAATGTATTTACCTATTTGTATATATATTATTAATTCTAGGGAAATCTGAACATTAAACAATCATTACTTGAAAAGCATCTACATAAACAACATTCCACATATGACAGATATTTGATAAACTAGATATTTGATAAACAAAGATGGTTTTCCTTAGATTAGTAGCCCAGGTTAAAAATTACAGAATCCCTAAAGATAAGTTTATATATTTTTACTTACTTCACCTGAAATTTAACTTAGATTGAAAAAAAGTAATAGTATTGAATGTCAAATTTGCGGTACATTTAATTTCCACTTGAACTTACTATTTCTTCCCATTTCTCTGTCAATATTGAACACTAAGTAAAAACTCACTTAAAAATTCAGCTTATACGCTAATAAGAACGGTTTTGCAAGGTCAAATTAACACCTAGTCTTGAAGAGACAATTCTTTTTTAACCTATTCATTTGCTATTTATTGGACTTCCCTAGGAATCATCAGATTTAGTATCAACAGACACAGGTAATATCACAGATAGCAACTTTCTAATTCATTAATTTCCATATATAGTCGAATCGATTCCTGTATTATAAAGATACCAAAGCTGTACTTAAAAAATATGTCAGTGCTATACTAGGGGTGTAACTCCTTATTAAGCAAGCACAAATGTGGCATCAAACTTACTTTTCCAAAGAAGCCTTTGAAGAACTTCCTTTCCTGGAGGAACAGGGGGACAAGTCGAGTGCTATTACTGTATGGGCTAAATGTCCCAGGGTTTCACACCAAAAAGCACAGACAGAAGTTGGGTAAAGGGCAAAGTGGAAGGGGAGGGAGTGAGAATTTTAAAGAGTTATCCATATCAGGAGTGACACGAAAATGCAAGGAAACATACTGTATGGCCTAAGAATCCATGGAAAGAATGAGAAGAAATCAGAACCTGTACCCATGCAGAGCAATGAGTTAGTTTAGTATTCTCTATTTATTTTTAAAACAGAGATTATCCAAATTTGGTAGCAGAGAAAAAGATCAGGGCATACTGTTTTGGTGAGATCTGCGTTTTAAATTTCATCATAGTGAGTAGTAAATAGATTAGTGCCACATAACATTTTTCAATTGAAAAGCGGTCAACTATGTGGAAGTCATTAATTTAAAAAACTGGTTCATATTCAAATGACCACATAATCACATAAAAAAGAAATACATAAAAATTAAATTATGAGTGTGCAGCAAAGGTCCTTGTCAGACCTTCTCTTATTGAGTTCACAATTTCCTTACTAACGCATTAGGACTGATTTTATGTGTGTGCTGATCAATTCCATGACAATCATGGAGAAATAATATGTTCTATTCCAAACACAGAATAAATCATCTATAAAGAACACAAGGCTAATGATTTCACTGGAGCTGAGAAAACAAACATATCTGAGATCCAGACCACATTTGTGAACCACAACTGAAATTTAAGAAATGGGTTTTGGTTTCTTTTTAAATGCTGTTTTAAAATAAAGAAACTTGCATAAACAGTTATAAGTATACGGTTCTGAAACTATGTAGATGAGAGAGACATAGCTATCTATGGTCCCAGCACCAATTTTTAAGCATATACAAACTTTGAAAGCTGGCCACCATTCAAAATCTGAAGAACTTATACAAAGTAGATGGGTTCTAACTTACCCAAGCTACCTTAACTTTACATTTCCGAGCTTTGGTTGAACTATACTTTAAGCCTTTACTTTTTATAATCAATTTTTAATGATGGATAAATGTCTAGAAAAAGACTACTGTACTGAAATTTGACACTCAGACAATTTATAAAGTCGTTTAAACACTGAATAGTTTATTTGCTCCCTCAGTTTTGAAAATGACAACTAGCATCAAATATTTCCATGAAATGTTGTAAACTTAAGCTGGAAAAAATAAAGTAATTGGGAGTAGTTAACACAATAAGACTAACTTTATTTCTGCTGCCAAGTTTGGTAACCCTAGTTTTGTTAGACTGTGAGCAACCATCAGCTTTTAAGGATGCAGCCAAAGTGAAAAGATTCCCCATTCTGGAGGGACAGGGAGATGAGGAAAAGAGATCCGTTAATATTTAATTTAGCTCCCAGAAAAGCTCTTGTTAAACATGGAGTCTGTCTTCTTTTTATAAAAGATATCAGATGTTAATGAAAAAAGTTGACATGCAAAATGCATAAAAAAGATAGTTATTAGAGAATAATATTGGTTGTTTTTTTTTTTTAAATTAAGTTATGGTTCTTTTACCTGCTAAAACAAGAACATATATTAGAAAAAAATATATCAAATAGTGAATAAAAAAATCAACATATTAGGAATTGGTAGTATAATGAAACTAGTCTAAAACAAAGAGAGACACATTTATAGAGACAATGGGAAGAAAAGACCTTTTAAAAGGAAGAGCATTTTGGATCAGTGTCAAGAAAGATAACCAAAGGCTCGATACACTTATTACAGAACAGACTGATAGATGACATTACTCCTCACCCAGCAACGGACTATAACATAAAGGCACTAAAAATGGACAACAGATTGTCCACAGGCAATATCCTATATAGTCTAAGTTCCTAAATGGCTAATCTGTGAAATTATGTCACAAAGTTAAAAATAGCTGTAACTCACTTTATATATACAAAGTAAAAATTAATTTAAACATATTTATGCTCTGAGAAGCATATGTTTAAAGTACTCTCTTATTGAGTTATAATATCTTTTCATTTGAGAATATTAAGTTTGCAACTAACTTCTAATTGAAGCTAAAATAGTCCTAAATTGTAAGGGACTACTTCATGGAGAAGAAAACTACACTTGCAAATTACCCTCCTTTCTCAATTCCCACAAATTTAAAAAGCAACAGAATGTTAGATTTTTAATTCAAAGATCATTCAAGTGATAAGTTTAAGATGTTTGTTTTGCTACTTAACTGGTATATCTGAGCTATATAATTCTTCAATTTTTAAAACTCTGGCATTCAAGCTAGTTCCATAGACATGTTATTTTTTCTTTAATCTGTAGGTCTATACACTTTTACATTTGCTTTATGATCTATAAAAATAAACAAATAAAAAACACCTCCAGAGACATAGCTTTTGGCACAATATAAGCATCTAGCACATCTAATTATAGATGTTTGTTACACATTATACATGTTTGTTTTAGGTTACATACATTTATTATAGATATTTGTTATAGATTATAAATGTTTGTTAGATGAATGTTTGGTAAGGGGGGAGGCAACTAGAAATTTAGGCATAGTAAAAATATGAAAAGAACACAAAAGTCATGAATTTTTGTGGACAACAGTGACCCGAGAAGAACATTTCAAAGACTTCCAACTTTCTGCAAGCTTCTCAGTCCAGCATTAGGATGGGTATTCTTTATACTAGAGGGAAGTTTCACTGAGTATAATAAACAGGAAACTGACCTCAGTTACCTAAAAATTCAAACTTATTTTTTTAAATACGTGTTTTCCTATGTAAAATTATAAACAACATTTGCTCTAAGTCTTCTGGATAGGGTTAATCTGAAACATTTTTAAAAACAAACTTCTTGAATGAAAAGTTCAGAAGTGGTCAATTTCCCCTCAAAGTTCAAAAGTTTAAGTATGTCCAGAAAAGCAATCGACATATATATAAAAATTCATTTTAGTTATAAAATGCCTAGGAAAATAAAGATATTTTAGAGATAAGCAAAAGGGTTTCATAAATTTTAAAACATTAAATATAAATATTATTATGAGATTCAATGTGACCACATATTGAAGACTGACTGAATTATCTTCTGTATATTCATTCCAGAAATATTTTTTGAGTGGCTATTTTGTGCCAGACACTGTCTAGGCATAGTTAATAGTTTATTAAATGGCAATTTGGTTCCTATTTCTAGTGAAAAGAAAAACTCATTAAATTTTATTATCTAAATAATCTTATACCTCGAATAATCATGCTTATAGTTTATAATCTTCTTTGTTAAAAAAAATAAAACAAAAACATTCATTCAACTAAAAAATTAGTTTTAAAACTAGATGGTGAATAGTGGCTGTCTCCGGGATTGCAAGAGATTTTATGTACTGTTTTTTTTAACTTGTATTTTATACAATGAATATATACTACCTATATAATAAAGAGATGTTTCTAATTAAAAGCAGGTTAAAAAAACTAGACAGTAAAGAGGATTAACTGCTCATTAAACAACTAAATAATACCAATACCAAACAACTAAATAATACTTCTGGGCAAACTTAAACCAGCCTCGTTTTTCCTCATTTAGTGAACACAAAGCCATACTCTGAAGTAAAAGACTTTCTAAAGGCTCATTCCACCGTGACCTTCTAACTAAGTTATATAAGTTATAAGATTTTAATAACTATTTAATATCTACTGTGTTCGGATTTGTCTATTGTTTTCAGTCATTAGTATTATGATGTTAAAAATATTCTTTAATGACTATGGGGCAAATCATTGCATTATTTTTTTAAATGTTCTTAGTTAAACTTATTCTTCTAGTGAACTTAAAATTATTTTGTTAAAGAGGAGATTAAATTTATGTTTCTTGGGAAATTACATTATCTGAAGCTGTATTTAACTGGGGTATATATTCAGCTAGACATAGCAAGTCTATAAATTATAGTTTCATGTACCATAACACATGGATTAAGTCCCTTTAATATTAATTGGAGTAAACAGACAGACTAGGAAGGGCTTCAATCATTTAAGAATTTAAATGCCCAAATTTAAGGTACATGGTATGTGTGTATATGTATGTGTACATGCATCTATATTAGCTTTTTTTTTTTTTTTTTTTTAGTTCTTTGTATAGTATAATCAATTATTTTTCTCCTTTCCCTTCTCCAACAGATTCAGGCGTTTGTTCCAAAATATAATCCACCTGAGTTGGTCGCTTCCTTAATTTTATCTTTTATAATGAGGACTTATAGAAAAGAGGTCATAAAAAAATGTACCAAGCAGCAGAAAACTTTTGGTTATTAAGCAAATTGAGAAAAAAAAAAAAGCACTCATCAGTAGCCAAAATTGAAGCAGCCCACCAAACAAGCAAACCCAAAGCAACAAGTATTTAATGCTATTTGGGGCAAGGGCATGCAGAAGTAACGCTTAAAGCTTTCAGAACAAAGTGGAGAAAGGCCACACATTGGAAAGAAGGTAGGTTGTGAAGAGGGCTGTCAGAGTTTATGAAACAGTCTTCAAACCTTTCCAAATTATGAAATCAACACTTTAATCTAAACCTTTATGAACTCTGAACCCATTCTCTCCTTTTATTAAATACACAGGCATGTGCCTGGGATGTGTTCCATGGCATAACAGGCAAAGTAAACATGATTTATCTTGGAAAAGGAGTCTCCATGTCAAGTATGCTAAAGTTTGTGCAAAAGGCAGGGGAAATATACTGTTTATGTTAGAGGAATACAGAGAAGGAAACTAGGGAGTAGCAGTCAAGATAATAATAAGTCCTCCCAAAATGTAAACCTCACTAGCCATGAACATGGACTATCTCCGTCTTCTACTTTTTCCTAGAAAGCTGTTTCTTATAGACTTAAAATCAGTAATTTATAACCCAGTTATCAAGGTTAAGACACTAACGCTAATATTTTTATATTGGTTTTAGAACATTATTCATCTATAAGATTTCATACCATTTGTTTAATATGGGTTCTGAATCAAAAGTACCTTTTGGATAATGTCTGGTCTAAACTGAGAAACTTGGTCTTTATAATTTATATCTTTGGATGACGACATGAGATGTCCCCCTTATTAAGTGAGCTCACATTTTTGTCTTAAGAGAAACACTGTTCTTACTGGATAGTGAGTCACTAAAATTTAGTGAGCAAAATCTTTTAAGAAAATATTTACAGCATGTAGATCAATACTGGTAACCATCAAATACATACAGCTTTCAATCTTTTTACAGCATCTTCACAGATGTGCATTCCTCTTGATTCATCAACTTCTACATGGCCAAGGTACTGTAGAAAGAAGAAAAAAGTTAGGGCTATTGTTATATTTACTGAGTAGCTACTATGTGGTAGGTATGAGATGGTAGAAAACTGAATATTGAAATTCCTGCACTCAAGAAACTCACAGCCATTGTAGAAAGTTAAGATAATGTTACTTTACTTAATCTTCAGTGTCCTCATATCAATGAGATTTATAATAAATGTCTCAGAGTTATTAGAGAAGAGTATGTGATAGGCACTAAATGATACCTGAATCTGTTGGATCTGAGGCATAACAGCCTGTACTAGACAGTTACTGTATCTCTAATCATAAAAACAATACTAATACAAAGTCTGTGTGTATATATATGTATATATTATTTATCTTGTATACATACATAGACATACTCGTATATTGAGAAAGGTATAAATAAAAATAATAGTTATTCCAAAACTAAACAGATCACATACTCCTTTAATAGCAAGCGCATAAAAGCAGGACATAAAACTAAGATTTTAAGAAGGCAGTGTATCAGAGCTTTAAAAGATGCATAGCATTTGTAGAGGCAGAGAATGAAAGTTTGGGAAACTATTTTAGGCAGAGTGAATTCAATAAAGGTTACAGGTGTGGAATAGGATAACTATATATATCAGCAAGTATTACTCTTTGGCTGGAATATGAGGTATATGAAGTTGGAGAATATGAATATTAAAACAAGTCTGTCCTTAATCCTAGAGGCAATGGACAGCTAATAAAGCCTTTTTTTTTTTCTTTGTCAAGGTAGTAATATGATTCAAATTGCACCTTAGTATGGAAATAGTCTTGGATTAAAAAAGCAACAGGAATGGTGGCGATATTACAAGTGCTCTCTTTTAAAAGGAAATTTAGGGTCTGGTTCTGGGTAAGATGGAGTAAACACACTTTCCTCTGCCCCACCCACTGAATAAAACCATAAAACCTGGATGGAATGCATGAAACATCTAGTTGAGGCCTCTGGAAAGAGTAGAAGATAAAACAGGGAAGAATACCAGACTTCAGGATATTTCTGAACTGGCAGGGAGTTTACCTCCCCTTGCCCCCCACCCCTCCCATCCCTCCAGCCTGAACTTAACACAGCCAGATAGGCAAAAAGTGAGTGCTGTAGCACAGAGAGAACTCTGGGAAAAGCACTGTTGCTCCAGCTCACGGACCAAGTACGGGAACTCCTCATCCTCAGAAAGAGTACAGGAATCCCTCTCCTTTTTATTTCTCTTTTCTTTGTTCTCTCAAACCCCAGCCCCAGGAAACCCTGTGGCGTGGTGATGGTGGTAGCAACGGAAACCTGGGAGAACCACATGTCGAGGGAGGAAAACCTTCCTGTTTAGTAAAACTGTGATCCCAGGAAGGTGGGGGCAACACCCCCTTGTGCTTTTCCCCTCTTTCTCTGTATCTTCCACCCTTTGGCTCTGGAATGGAGGTAAAATAATGGGAATGCATGATGGAGCAAAATAATCAAATCCCAGGAAACGCAGGCATACAGAGTTTAAGCTAACTTGACCAAGGTCATTCAGCTAATGAATGCTCTAATCCCAGCAGCCTGCCCCAGTCTTATAATGTTCATATACTGAATTTTTCATTTTTATTCATATCTTTCTAATGCTGAATAAATGCATAAAACCAGTGTATTGAAATCAATTTAGGAAACTGCTGGACTTTAGGTAACAGACAAATAAAGATGATAAACTAAGGCCGAAAAATTAAATGTCTCATGAATTGTAACACATATAATGTTGAATAAACATTATATAGAACAGCAAGAATGTTCACATTTCAGTTGTGGACAAAAAAGGGTCTCTTTAATAAATCTGACCAAAAATAATCTCACAGAATGATCGGATCATAAATTCCTAATTGGGCAGGTCATGGTGAGTAGTCATGCCTCAGACCTGTAACTTCCCTAACAAAAGGCTATCTTTGCCTCAGGCAAGCCCTGTCTCTTGTTTTTGTGCATCTAGGTTAACATACCTTTGAAATGCCTCTTTGTCAGACCCTTCGAAAAAGTAACCACCCTCAAGGGAGCACATAATCTTAACTAAACTGCAGTCTAATCACAGTGATTTCCTACCTTGCTTTCTCTCATGTAATCTTCCTTACATTCCCTCCTTAATTCCAAATGTATAAAAGAAACTACAAACTGTTATTCTGGGAAGCATTTTTCTCCAAAGCATTTGAGATCTTGCTTCCCAGCGTGCAGTCATTTTGGCACAAATAAACTCAAACTCATAAGGATTCTTTAGAGGTTTGGACATTCTTACATTAACACAGTGAACTGAACAATGCATTATATATAGTTCTGAGTCGAAAGAGTATTACTTCTCTATGGCAAATCTGAATAATACAAAATCCAGGATAGATATACAATCATGCACCACATAACGACCTTTTGGTCAAAGATGGACTGCATATACAACGGTGGTCCCATAAGATTATAATAGAGCTGAAAAATTCCTATTGCCAAGTGACATCATAGCCATCATAACATCCTAATGCAAGGCATTACACAAATACTTACCATTGTATTACAACTGTCCACAGTATTAAGCACAGTAACAGGCTGTACAGGTTTATAACCTAGGAGCTGTAGGGGAACAGAATTTGTTACCCCAAAATGTCTCTCTGGCATAAGGGTTACTTTAGGTTAAACACAGAATTACCATATGATTCAGCAATTCCACTGATAGGTATATACCCCAAAGAATTGAAAACAGGTATGCAAATAAATGCACAGTCATGTTTATAGCACCATTATTCACAACGGCCATTCCACTGTATGTATGTATCGGTTTATCTATTCTTCCACTGAGGGACGTTTGGGCTGCTTCCATCTTTTGGCTATTCTTTAACCTTTTAGATCCCATTTGTTCTATTTTTCTGGGTATTTTTTCATCTATTTTTATAAGTAGAGTTGGTCTACAATTTTCTTTTTGTTTCTGTGCTATCTGTTAGGTGGTTGTACCAGGATTTTGTTAACGCTATAAAAAATCTGAAAAGCATTTCTTTTTTTTACATCCTTTGGTATAGTTAAATACCATAAGGGTCATTCTTTCAGGTTTTGAAAGAATTGGCTGGTGAAACCATCTACACTCAATCTTTTTGGGGGAGGTAGTTTTGGAGTTTTGAGAACTTTCTCTATTTACTTCATAGTTAGGGGCCTAGTCAACTTTTCTTTCTCTACTTTAGCTACTTTTAGTAATGTATGTATTTCCTAGAACATTCTTAGTTAATCTAAATTCTCAAATTTATCAGCATAAGCTATATAGTATTCACATGAGTCTGTAATTGGGTCTCCCCACTTTTTCATCTCTTATATATCTGTGTGTTCTTAAGGCTCATTCTAGTACTACCTCAGAGTCAATTAACCTGTTTCCACTTTATATTAATAATAAAATGAGAAAATAGGGTTTTATAATCTCTGCATTACCTTTAGATGTTAAGAAATGAATACAAGTTTCAATGTGTTTCCAAGGGATTTTATTCTGTCATCTTGATCAACTCAACTGGTCAACTGGGTATTTATGCCAACCAAAAAAAAAGGGGGGGGTAGATTTGGTAGAAGGAAGAGAACAAAAATATCTCTTATATGGACTGACTCTTAGCTGCATAATCTATTTTAGAAATGTGAAGATAGAAATCAGCCTGTGTCTTATTAGACTACGAGAAAAACATGCCCATTGAAATAAACATTAGTATAAAGAAGTCTCTTCTCTTCTCTGGGACACTATCTCACTGAAGAACTGCAGCTGATTTATGCTTTAACGGCTAAAATATTTGGCACTGGGACTTCTTTTGTCTGTACGTCTTTTCCAAACTCCCTCTGAGTAACGACTTTTATTCACAAAAATGTACTTTAGAAAAACTAGTATGTGGAATTTCATTCTTGGATGAATTAAGTCATTTTTCCTCTTCTTGAAAAATTTAAAAAGTAGATTTTACCCTTGCTTTGGTAATATTAACCATGAGAAGAAATGCAGAGCTCTTATGTGAGACTGTACAGTCAGCAGTTCCCAACATTAACAAAGAGTGACATAATCATTAATTTGTAAGAAACTACAAGGCATATTATCACATACACATAGCTCATGTTACATAGCAAACATAGGATGCAGATGTGTTGAACGTGACACCAAAACTTGGTTGGGGCATTTAATCAAAGAGGAATAGTAAAATCAAATTAAAATGGGCCATTCTTTAAGTATAAATTTGAAGTACAATTATATTTGAACAAGTCATCTGACCTAAGCATCTATATTAAATCTAATCACATAAGTCTAAAGCTATCAGTAACTTAAAGAGATCCAAAAGCTTCATTTTTCAAATGTGACACTAGGTGTCAAAAAAGTTAAGTGATTTAAACAAGGTCACATAACTAGTAAATTAACAGGACCAGGAACAGAACTCTGATCTTTCGACTTCTAGATCTACTTTCTTTCAACAAGCTGACATCACCTCTGCACTCTCCTATTTAAGTAATGGTTTATAGTTTATTGCTCTTACATATATTAAGTTAATGTTATTCTTCTTTATTTTATTATTAATTTCAAGTATAGAGTACATTGGTTAGACATTTATATAGTATATAAAACGATCCCCCTAATTGCTCTGTCTCTCCTCTGGCTCTGCACCTAGTCATTACATTACCGCTGACTGCATTCCCTGTGCCATGCTCCCCATCCCCGTGACCATCTATCAACTACTGATTTGTATTTCTTTAACCTTTCACCCCATTCTCCCAGCCCCCTAACCTCCCACCCCTCTGCCCGCCATCAGATTGTCCTCTATATTTGTGTGTTTTTGATTAGTTTGTTCTTTTTGTTCCTTAGATTTCGCATGTAAGTGAAATCATATGGTATTTATCTTTTTCTGTCTGACTTATTTTACTCAGCATAATAAGGTCTATCCATGTCATTGTGAGTGATAGGATTTCATTTTTTTAATGGCTGAGTAATATTCCATCGTATATATGAACCATAACTTCTTTTATTATAAATTG